CCCTGCCCCCCCCCCCCCCCCCCCATGCCAGTTTTGCTTTTCCTGCCTCCACTTTGCTTGAGGGACCCTCGTCCCCCTCCCTCAGCGCCGGGGACAGAGAGCAGCTTATTATTTTTTTACAAAAAGCAAAGTCCAGAGGCAGGAGCTGGTTCCGCGCTGCCACCAATATCTTGAGTTGTATCGCGAACAGTTTTTGCCAAGAGACATATGAGTGTCCGGCACCTCACCAAGCGTTTGGCGTTTCCCAGCTCTCCAAACCGTGGGCTGGGCAGTGGCATGGCAGCTGCGCCGGTCCTTAGCAGGGAGTAACAGCCCTTGGGGGCTGTGCGAGGCTCTTGGCCTGCCACCGACCGGAGCCGGGTGCTCAGGGGGAGCTGGCCACCCCCCCAGCCGAGCTGAAACACCCTGAGAAACGCTGCTGCAGGCCACGATTGCTTTTCGCTAACCTTTTTGTACTCCCAGAGCAGCTGGGTTTTAAATGGTAGTGTACCTTTTTCTTATCACTTTTGTTAAATTAAAAGTACAGTTTGAAGAAGACTGGCTGGTCTGTGCGGGGAGAGGTGGGAGGGAGCTGTGAGCCGGGGCTGGTCCCACTGCGAGGAGGCCGCTCCTGTCGCTGAATTTCTTTATTGTGGTGGAAATCTATAAAACATGAGGATGAGGGAGGTGTAGGTGGGCGACTCTTCCCACTAGTCAGCAGTTCTCCCCTCGTAAGTGCTTTCTGCAGGGTTACACGGAGGTTAGCTTGAAGGAAACACGCACGTGATGCAACTGCTCGCTCTGTACCACTCAGCTGCGCTTCTCGCTTCACTGAAGAGATAAAGGTCCTAGCGAGGAGCTTCTCTGAGATGGAGGAACCTGGCTAAAACCCTGGCTAAAAGCTAGAGCAGTCCCTGCCCTGCGCCCAGCCCTCCTCACGCCTCACCCCTGCTCTCTAGCTGGTGTCTCGCACCGCTCCTGCGTCCCCTCTCTGTCCCCCGGCTTCACTGGAAGCCTCAGTACTTGTTGATGCCAAAGACCCGCACGCCGTGGAACTGGGGCAGCTTGGGCAGAAGGACGCTGAGCAGGGAGGCTGTGTTGACGACAAAGTGCACAGGGTCGTATTTGGTGTAGAAGCTGGTGAGGAGGTACCTGGGGGAGACAGGGAGACCCTGGGTGAGCTCTGTGTCGCTCCCACCCTCCCCACTGCCAGCACTGGGGGGATTTCCCCCCAGGTGCCTTGCTGGCGTTCCCTGCACAAAACAGCGCCTCACAGCTGGGGAACCCTCTAGCCCCAGGACCCGTTAGTGCCAGGGCGGCTGTGCCGACAGAAGCCCGATGGTCCCACCGCGTGCCTTAAACACCCTCCTGAGCCCCCCTGCGCTCTCCTGCCTGGTTCAGCAATACTCACAGCACTACCGGGGAGACGCTGAGGAACTTGCGTGACGAGGTGCACTGCGTCCCGTAGTCTATCTGCTCCCAGTGTGTGAGGAGGCGATCCTTGCCCTGGTCCGGGGTCTCAAAGGGGGTCCCCTTCACTGTGTGCAGCAGCAAGTACATGACCTGCAGTTTTCAAGGGGGGAGGAGATGTAAAGCCAGCCGGGGACAGTCTGCTGCTGGGACAGAAATGCACTTTGTGCCCTCTCACAGCAGTTTCCCATGCTAACGACCTTTCATCAGCTGCATCTCCCCCTGCAACGCCAAGCCCCCAGCCTTTCCCTCAGTGCCCAGCAGGAACCAGGGGCTTCCTTATAGCCGGGGGACATGGAACCATACCTGGCGAACACCAGCCTACATGCTTTCCAGCCCTGGGAGAAGAGCGAGCCAAATTTTGACTAACCAGGTTGTGTATGACATTGGTGAGTGTCCAGACCACAGGAACGCTGAAGAATGGGATGCTGAGGAGAACGACGTGGAGGACTCCCACAGAGATCACATACGCCAGCCAGATCCCCCGGCTGTTCATCACCCGCGTGTTGGGGTTCACCTCGCTGTGCGCCACGCCGACGTTCATCCTGGAGCAGACAAACGGAGGCTTCCAGAGGTCTCCTCAGAGAGGTTTTCCCAAATCTCTGCAATTCCCAACCCAGTCAGGGCTCTTGGTGTAGCCCCACATCCACGGTCTTCCTGCAGCACCTCTCAACCCGGCCTTCCCATGTGCTTAACCCCAACACACCGCTGATGCCAGCTCCCTAATTAGCAACTCTGCACCTCAGCCTTAAGGCCAGGAACACAAGGGTAAGGAGAAAAGGAAGGAGCTCACCCCAGCCACCAGAAACGCTGGGAACTGAGGAAGAACCACCCCATAACGGGGCTCCCCTCTCCCCCACGCTCAGCCTGTGCTGCTTCCCCACCGGACAAGTAGACAAAATGCCTGCTCTCCTCCCCGAGAGCCTGACTCCTCGGCCCTAAGGCACGCGTGGGGCCGGAAAACGACCGCAGATCCCTCCCCAGGGCCTGGTACACCTGCTCCCGCCTCAGTGCCCGGTCCTGCCGCCATGGCCTCGCAGCCCCCCGGCCCCTCACAGCCCCCC